ATGGTAGAGTATTAGCCTCCATTTTTTTGTGTTTCTATCGCAAAGTTATTGTTTTCCTTTCTCAATATTTCAACAGATTTACCAAGGTAGGTAACACACTTATTATAACACATTATTATGTCGTATCTCCCTTATGGTAAGCATTTTTCAGACAAAATAGTAAAATAAGGAAAAAATAACCATCAAACTAACAACCAAGAAAATACCAAATGTAAAGCCTTTATGAAAATACTATACACGAATTGTAAAACAGAGGTAAGACATATTACTACTAAGCTTATTATTATAACCAGTTCCTATTTCTGCTTGTTACAATAATTTCAGGAGCAGCTAATGTTTAAATTCAAAGCTTTCCCTTCAATCGTGAAATAATTCGACCGTTCAGCTGTGGCACACCCCCGCTGAATAGTAGCTTTCATCTGCCCAGCATCAAAAGTTCTCGTTATCTGCACACAATCATGAAAACAATATAAAAGTCGAGATTAAATTAATAAAACCAGATTTATAATGCATTTGAATAAAGACAAACACAATGCAGTTACAAATATTTTATTTTGTTTAGTAAGTAATAATGAAAATGGTAGCTCTGACATAACTTTCTGTCTGGTTACTCTATTTTTCCAAGAGAAAGAAAAAACTTCACTGAGACTTCCCTAGCGTTTCATTAAGACCTCACTTCCTAAACCATTTGATTGGGCGGCTATATAAAGCATATGATTTTAAAAAGAACTTGGTACCTTTCTCAGTAAATAATTATTGAAATAAAAATACTACTTCTTCTACTACTACGACCAATCATAATAATATTAATAATATTGGTGGTGATGATACTTATAATGATGATGATAATATTAATAATAATAATAATAATATTAAAAAGAAGAGGAATGGTTATTATAATAATAATAAAAATGATAATAATAAAGATAGATAAATAATAATACACACTGTAATAGTAATAATGATGATGATGATAATGATGATGATGATGATGATAACGATGTCAATAATATTGATAAATAATGATAATAATAGGGCCTAATAACAATGACAAAACATGTTAACTTACTCTACATCCATTAGCAAAATATACAAGGTTCTTGAAGTAGTCTGCTGAGTCATATTTATCTGAGCAGGCCTCCTTCAACCCAGTCATTATTTCAAATGTAATTGGATGAGTACACTGGTAGCAGTTTTCAGCTTTTCCAAATGTTGCGGCTTGAAAAAAAAATAGTGTAAACAAAGAGATAATTCTAAAGTTAGAGAGAGAGAGATAGGTCCATATTACATTCATCTGTTAAAAAGTCTATCCATAGCATATGCAATTCACAATAGAGTAACAAAATACCTGATCTTATGATAATATAGTTATTTACTACTTTGTTTCATAATTCAAGGAAGAAAACAAAAATTACATTTAATGGATTAATGGAACATCTATAGAACTCGGTATAATGTATTAAATATGCCTCGCTTTGTTTAGTATGTTTTTTTTTAAATTCTTAAGACAATTTCATCCATTAGCAATGCATCGCGCAACCTCTGAAGATAAGAGTCATCATAAATTACGACATATTGGTTCTAAAAGAAAGGATAGTAGGCATATACTTGTGATATTTTATTTTCTTGGTAATTTCAGAATAATGTTTATTCCATTATTAATATTGATTTTCCTTGAAGTAATCTCAATTTGTGTACAGCGCTTTGAAACTTTCGTGTCACAAGCGCTATATTAATTTTTCGTATTAATATTATTATTATTATTGACTGATTGGTTTTAGTCGTCAAATATAAATTACAAAATTCACAATCACGAAATATACTGTACAAGAGAGATGATACTTTGACTGGATTACCAATCGAAACTAATACTTATCTTCTTTTTCTTTTAGCCTTTACATGCGATGATATAATAAATGAAACTGTCTAGACTGATTCGGAATCAACGATCACGTGTACAAAAGAATAGTTCTAAATTCTGGGGTGCTGGAATACACTGTTATCCAATAAGTTGGAATAATGATTTGTTTACCTCTTTTTCTAGAAGTGATTGTGAGAATATGATTTCTTCTTGAATGATGGATAGAGTTTTTTTTAAAATCTTTTCAGAACGTTATCAACGATTTATAGAGATTGATCAATAAAGTACCGAGAAGGTAGAAACTTCGACCAATAATAAACCATAATGATTGTCACATTCATTCATATTCCACCTTTATGGGCAACACAAAACCTATTTCTTTCTTCTTCTTCTTTTACGCCGCGGTTTTGCTTCGTCATATCTGAACAATCCTTAATTAATGCTTACCAAATGCAATAATTGCCGCACAAATGTAGCTCATCATCCCGGTCAGTGGTGTGAAATTCATCTTGGAAATTACCGTTCATCCAGATTATCCTAAGAGCTAAAAATAAATGAATTGAAACACAAATTAGGTATAATAATTATTATGGTGAAAATTGATGTCTGGCGAAAAAAGTTAATTTCTAAAAATGTCTCGCTTTGCTTTGAGTCCTGGTTGAATAAGGTTCATCATGGTCTCATTTGAAAATCAAATTATTCTACATAATTACTCAATATCTTTGTAGAGAGAGAGAGAAAAAGGAAGACGAAAGAAAGTTAGAAACAGAGCCCCGCCAAACCAATGGCAATGTGAATCAAAGACGATTAATATTAAGGACACACTGTCCTACTTGTAGCTACTTGCTCCCTCGCTATATAGAAAACTTCCCCAATCGGTGCCTGTTGGTCCCCCATGATCCTCTTTTTCTTATGTTAACTGAGAGCTGAGTTAATGAGATAGCCACCTGTCACAGTGACCTCGCTGGCTCGCTGTGTGGTCTAATCCCTTCTGACTGAAGTAGTAAAGCCTCCCTTTAAAGGAAAATCCCACACTTGAAATGTTTTAAGGGACAACTACTCTATAAGCAAAACAAATCAGATAATTTGAATGATGAAAGTTTGAGTGAAATCGGACAGAAAATTAAAAGTTTTAAAGCTATAATCACTGTACGCATATAGGCACTGTTCAAATCGGTAATGTTAGTGTGACGAAGTGCCGAACAGCTTTCCCGTTTACATGAGTTACAACACACAAAATAAATAAAAGTTTTTTTTTCTCAAAATTTGTGACTGAGGAGGGTCTCTCCTTTTAAGAAGACCTGTGATAATATGCTATCCACAAAATATTTGAGTAGTGCCCCAAGGGAGAAGCCACTATGGAGGAAAAGAGATATAAAATAAATTTGTTTACACTTTTTGTACACCTTCCAACCCCACGCCACTTCGTAACCTGCCAGTGTCACAAATAAGGCATCATAATATGCTCATCTGATCGTAGCTTATTGCTTAAAACCCCTGAGCTTCCGGGGCTCCGCCCCATGGACCCCACGCCAATTCGTGACCTGTCAGTGTCACAAATAAGGTATCAAAATATGCTCATCTGACCGTAATTTATTGCCCAAAACCAAAACTGAAATGTCCATAGCTTACTTTAGCTATAAATCATAGCTAAAATTAGATATGGACATTTTAGTTTTCACTTCATTTCCCGCCTTCATTGTCATCAATTATAATATTAATAACACTGAGTAAATTTATATTGTACCGATGTGAGAAAGAAATATACATGATACAGAAATTAATATAATGGACGTAAAAAACATTGAATTAAAAATGTCTTGTAAAAAATAAAAATAATGCTAATCGTTCTTCTATTACTTGTGATACTCTATATAATACCCCCGAGATCCCCGTTCGCCTTGTAATAGACACACACAATATAGCGAGAATTATGATATGATAGTAAAAAAATGTTGGCGTGTATGCTTTAATAATCATATATCCGTGTTTACCGATAGGCTATTATTATCCATGATTTCATCTGTATCTTGGTCAACATAATAAAGAGCTGAATTCCAAAAAGGAGCTATTCCGATTTTCGACAGAAATAATGTTCAAAAAGATAAATATGGGGATCTCAGGCATGGGAATCAAATTAAATTCCCTCTTTGAAAGGTAAAAAGACAATTGGTTACCAATTTATGTTCCATTCCAAAAGGCACTACATTCTCTATGGCGATTACAAATTTGCTCAAATATAACATCTTTCCGCAGGCAATGTATTATTTTTTTGATAGATATACCTGCCTACTGATGATCAATGTAAAATTGTCATAAATGTAAAATTGCTTGTATTTAGCTTTCCAAAAAAAAAAAAAAAAAAAAAAAAAAAAAATCATTTTTTTGTTAGCGACTTTTGGAATAAAACAAACAAAAGCGTTTCTTTAGGGATCATTCTTCCTTTTATTACTCAATCATGTTTTGTTCCACAAAGATGAAAAAACACATGCTGTGCTATCAAATTGTCTGTATTTCGATTTCAATTTTAATTTGTTGAACGTACAAAACGGACGGTCAACGGAATTTTATTTGCAAAGGCGCTACATCTACAGATGATAAAATCAGTAAAAAATTCTTTACAAATATTACTCCATCGCTAAAAATAGAGGTAAACAAACATTACGAATATCATCTAATGGAGGCGTGGCCTAGCCTGTAAGCGAGCCAATCACAATCATTTCGTTAATGGTGGCACAGCTAGATAGAGTGGCAAAGAGGGACGTGCCCCCCGGATCGACGGGTAGAAAAAAAAAATGAAATTAAAGGTAAAAGCGAGAAAAGAGAGAAATGGAAAGGAAGAAGGAGAGGGGGGAGACAAGAAAATGATAGACGCATGGATCACCTCCTGTTCGGATGCCTTATTTTCCGAGGTAGATCGGTGCCCCAGGCATCCCCTTTTGTTCCACTGCCCTCTTCATGAATTGACCACGTACGCTTTGTCACGTACTGTAATCATATAAACTTCACCGCTCCTTCTTGCCAACCAATCATGACGAAGAGATCTATTCTGAATTTGCATAAATCATATTGCGTGCAGTCTATTAATATATATATATATATATATATATATATGTAACATCTCAATAGAGCGCGTTCAGTCGTTTGGAAGGAAATAAGCTCCAGTCTGTCCTCTTCTCCATTGCAAACTGACATCTGCAGGTAAGGAATTCTAGATTTTTGTTTAAACTCTAATTTATTTGGAAAATGTATTCAAATTGTTTTACTTTCCATTAGTTGTACAATTGTGGTTAATGATAATAATGATAATGGGTTCTTGTACACCGCTCATGTCCGTCACTCCTGCCGCCCCGCAACAGAGATATCAGTAGCTGTAGGCCCGCACAGTTAATGATAAAAGAAAGTAGAACGAGCTTGAAACCCGAAAAGCGAGGCGTGTGTTTCGAGCGCTACATTATACATAGAATCACGTTACTGTAAGATTAATGCCTATGTTTCTTGATATAACGATTATATAACAGAGAAACCCAGTATAATGGAGAGAAAACGTGAAGGAAAGTTAGACATCAGAGGAAAAAGTTCATTTGAATATGTTAATAGTAGATTGCGTATACATTATTGTTTCGAACCTAGGTGTCTGGTTAGGTAAACAGATGGCTTCGACAGGGAAATGGTGTTCATCTTTTTTTTTAAATGCGGAATTATAATTCAAAATGTAATGCCAAAACTGTGTCACCGATTGAATTTTGAAAATTAGTGCCCAAAGCTCCCATTTTGTTTTTGTTTTAGGGGCCCGCCAGTGTTTTCATGCATTTCAGAACAAAAACAATTGGCTGAACATTTCCGTTTGGTGCAGATAACCCACAATGAACGATACAACGAATTATGATATAGGTTAAAGGGGCATGTTCCCCGTATTCCAGAGGGCGTTCAAAATACGTACCCGCTGGCGGACGGTGCTAGCTGCCTATTGACACCAACAGAATACGGCTCTTACGCAGATGGCATGTTCCGAATGCCCGCACAATGCCGATTATCGCATACATGTACCGAAGTAATACCAATCGCAGTTCGGCTCTAAGATTCGGCTGCTGTTTCCGCCCACTTTCGTGACGTCACAATCGGCAGCGATCAGCTGGTTTGGCGAAGGCAGGCCAGGACGCGCGTACTTTGATTGACAGCTGTATGCAAATAAGAAGTCGATCTTTGGAACCAAGATGGCGATGACTAGAGCAGCGATAACTACACTGGCGGGAACGTGCCCCTTTAAGGCCCACATAAGACTAAAGGCTAGGGACCATATAAGTTACTCCATTAGGGCCTCAATAATCTGCAACTCTAGCCTGTCGAGAGGAATGTAAAGTAGCCACACGAAGAAACAAAAGTGTTTTGAATTGATGCAAAACTCATATCATTGCGAAGGGGAAGCCTTGCTGATCAAATACGACAACTCTTTTCTTCAAAATATGTTTGGGGCCCGCAGTAATCAACTCTCAAAAATGTTAGTTTTGAGATCCAGATTTTCTGCCTTAATCAGCGGTCCTTTATAGAGTGTCAATATTTGTGACGTCACATACGGGACACGGCTGGCTAGCTGCAGACTGCTACACGGCACTGAGCTGTTTGTCCAGTGTGTGACCTCACTATTCAGAGCTCGCTACGCTCGTGTGTTTGGCTTACGTTCGGGGGCGCTTGGGGGTCTAAGAAGGGTTTTGAAAAATTGCATTTTACGCCTTTCCATGATATCTATATGATTTCTCAGCTTTTCAAGAGAAAATCTTTCCATCCATATGTAATTTGTTCTAATTATCAGTTGTTAGTGAATTTTCTTTGTGTAGCTCCTTTAAAGATACTATGTCCCTTTTGCAGCCGACACCAAAGTATGCAGAACCAGGAAGCTAAAATGAATGGAGATTCCGTCCAAGAGGCCCATTTGAAGTCATCCCTGACACCGCGCGTCTTTTGTTTCTTCTACCGTAATCCCCTTAATTCCCCTCCGAAACCGTACAGCTCCCTAGGAGCACTAAGTCCTCCCTTTCCACACACAGCCCAACTCAGCGAGCACGGCGACTTTTGCTTTGCTGGCCCGTACTTGGGGTGAATAGTGGTGATAACTTGACAACTTTATCAATCAATAAATGCGCAAAAATATAACACAATTTCATTTAGTTCTTTAGGAAGATAAACCTTTGGACTACTTTCCTAGCTTTGCACAAATTTCGGAAAATGTCAATAATTAGATGGGAATCATGATGATGAAAACCTTTCATTCGCTCTAACTCACGATTTCCTTGGTCGATTTCGCTGGTTGAAATGGCTCTGTCTTCAATAGAGCTATCTGAGAACGGAAAAGCATTTTATAACTAATAGAAAGTTGCATTAGTCATATGTTGTGAATTTTGTGTTTTATATGTTATAGCTAAATACATCTTCACTGAACATAACCTAATTTTTCGGTGCCACGCATGGCTTCAAAGTTCGATGCTTGCATATTTTTCCGAGGGAAAAATATGCAAGATTAGCTTGGCTTAACAAAAATAAATGTAACCCTCTCCAGCAATCATTTCCATCAACAGCTGTCCATATAAATGCACAGTCCCCCTCTGGAATTCAAAATATTACAAAATGTTACGCAACGCCATCTGCTTCCCTAAGCTCTCTATTCACTATTTTGCAAATACGATGGGACAGAAAGTTCATCAGCCCAGTATCGCTTTAAATTACTGTCATTGCTTTATATTATGAGTAATTCAATGTCTTTGTTATGTTATGTGAATCAAGATACTACTATGGGTTCTATTCATGTCATAATCGACACGATAATCGGCCCGTAAATCATATAAACAAATTAATTTAGTTATTTTTAATGGCAATTACCTGGCTTTTTATCTAAATCTTCATAAAACCAAAGTCGTATTGACATTGGCCAATATAATACAAATAATTAGGAAGAGCTACCTTCATAGCGATAGCCTACCCACAATTCTGCATATGTCAGCACATTGACATAACTTTCTGTTACAGGAATAGACATGACGGTGTTACCGATTTTAAAGTGTTGATTGAAGGACTGTCCATGTACACAACTCTCATAAAATCATGTATCATTTCCTTTTTGTTATCTTTATTTACCTTCATATTTTATTACGTGTGCATGATAAACCATGTATCACATAGACTTTAGACAGTTTCACTGAGTAAATAAATTCAACCATTTTAACCCTAAAAAGGCCGGGCTATTTGAGGTCTTAGTACGGCCGGGGATGGGGGGGGGGGGCATTATGCCCCCCTTAAGATCTCGGCCGTGAAACTGCCGATCTCCGCAAAAAATGTGCACGCATGTCAAGTGAAGTGTATAGAATAAAATGATAATTTCACTTTTTTTTTAAATTCACTCATTTGCATATTTATGGTAATTTATGGAAATAAGGTCATAAATCACATTTTTACCCATAAATCATATATTATTCATATTTAAGCATTATTTTTCACCACAAATATTCATTAGACCATTTGGAATAATAATACAACTGTAGGTCCGATTTTAATTTTTTTAAAGATGCGCAAGACTCGAAAGAAAAAAGTCAGCGAGCGGCGGGGCGCCATCCATATGCGTTCCCGAACAATCAGAAGAATCGTGGGGGGGGGGGGAAACATAATGCCCCCGGCCTTATTAGGGTTAAAGGATCTTTTTATATTTGTATTTGAAATCCAACTTTATGGTTGCAATTAATAAAAAGGAGATAGATAAATATAAAGTGAAATAGAAATAACTTTGATGAGTACTTTTTATGATTGCAAAAGAAAATAAGAATTTAAATAATTATTTGCACACCACGCTTTGTCAAAGATATTTTAGAATGTGATCGATTCCGGGAGGCAAATATGGCGTACACAAAACACTTCTTTACTATATTAAGGCCTGTGTAATGCTATTTGAATATTTAAATATGTTAAACCAAAGGGGATGGAATCTATATGTCCTACCTAAAGCCTGTTTCTAATAAATTACACTTTTGAGTTATAAGAGGAAAAAGTGTAAAAAAATCCTCACAAATGGAAAGATGAGTTTAACCGTGGCGATAATAAATATAGGCCTATGGATTCTTTATTTCCAAAGTACATTGTAATTTTCAATCAACTGTTGATATAACAATGTAATAATCTGAATTTATATAGAGCTCAATACGAAATACCGTCTGTTAGCGCTTTACAAACATTATTAACCCAGTCCCGGTTTCAGATTCATTCATTCATTCTTGGGGATTATAAGGGAGTTTACGGATAGCACATGGTACAGATGACCCCAAATATCCACAGATCTTTTACACATGGAGAAGTTCCACTTTGAGCATCTTAGAATAATAACTGCCAAAGTCCTAGATGTGCGGCTTCATGAATACCTTTTGTTTGCCCTCTTGAAAAGAATACTTCCACCTGCGTATCTTAGAATGTACCGTTGGTGAAATAATGAACAATGTTACATAACTTTCATGAGCGCATATCCAGTATTCATCTCTGGTGGGTTTTACCTTTTTGGTACAAATGACCTTTATCTGCCCATGCGCAGATTGTATCTGTAAACTCCCTTATTCCTACCATATGGTCACTGTGATGGCATATGCCAATTACTAACACAGGGCTTTCGTCCGGGTCATCCTACCAGGTCTCCATTTCTCTCCTGGGTATGGAGTGGTAAATGTAGATTAATACCTTGCCTAATGACAGTAAAAACATGAGGTGTTTTTAGTTTTAAGCCTTTACATGAAAGACGCCTTGTTGACATTGAAATTAGTTACAAATAACCTAAATATGTACATTTTGTCATAATAATGCAGAAACAATTACACTTATTTTGTTAAATCCTTATTCAAATGCAATTTGGTCAGAATCTGAGCCACTGAGCTACTTTTCTGTAATGATATAAAGATAAAGCTCAGAAATCAAAAGAAATTGTTCGTTTTTCATTGACGTAATGATGGTGCTCTCAATTGTATTATGATGTTGGTAAGATCATGTTCTTTTTTCAGCTAAGTGCACTACCTGTTTACCATTGTTTGGCAATATTGAATCAGCTATAAATGGTTTAATATAAAATAGAAACATATCTTGCTGAAATGAATCTAAGGGGAAAACAATTCAGCAAGTTCGAGATAAGGTGTTTTTATTTTATCATTTTTGTGTGTGTTTATGTTTATCCCTCATTTAAAAAATTACCATGGAAGCCATTGTAAAACTGTAGTACCTTTGGTACTGATATTGTTTAATTTTTTCTTCATTTTGTCTAAGCATCTCGTGTCATATAAAGTCATAACAATATGAATAGAACACAGAATATGACTGATTTATTTTTCTATACATATTTAAGCTTTCCTTTTGCTTAACTTTTTTGAGGGGGGGGGGGGGGAGATGTCAATATAAAGTTCTGCATGACGTCAATCACATCATAAAGATATGGTGTGTATCATTATGTTTGATATTGTGTAATAAAAGAACCATGTACTAGAAGAGTAAACTAAATGAAAAATATATAGATCTTAGAAATGATCCTTAAAAACTAACCATTTGCACTTGTTGTCTTTTCAGAAATCTCTATTGGTTTTGCTGAGACAAGGTAAAAACGTTTCAGAATGGATAAGATTTCGTTGATCTTTTTACTGGCAGCAGTCTTTTCTTTCGGTAAGATACTTCCACTCCTTGAAATAATTTTAACAGTTTTGGGTGCAATTCTCAAGTCACATTTGTTACTCTCCACAAGGCGCGGATACAAGGGGGGGGGGGCCCCTGGTCAAAAAAGGAAACAAAAATTAATTGTGACTAGAAATTTTCCTCTCTTTTTTTTGCTCAAGGGGGGGGGGGGGGGGGGGGGGGGGCTGGGTGGGATGTGGGGTGTTGAGCGAAATAGCGACCGGCACAATTTTCAAATTTCCGGGGGCAAAAAAGAAGAAAAAATAGTACTCACTACCCCCCCCCCCCCCCAATCCAAATGAGCGAAATATCGGCCGGCACGATTTTCAAATTTCAACACACTAAATTTCAAACTGATTTCAAAGGTGGGCCTCCCCCCCCCCCTCCCCCTAATAAATCCCGGATCCGCGCCTGCTCTCCACCAAGGTGTCAATGGGTAACTTGTAATTGCTTTTCTTGGTAAACAAAATTAGTATTATAATGATTTCTATTGATATCATTATCATTATTACTATTGTTATTATTACTCCCAGCTCATGTCGGCGAAGCTGCGACATCATGCTACCATTGTGTGTACACCACTGGCGGTGGAATTGTGAATGACGCGAGGTGCGTGGACCCATTTGACAGAAGCTCAGGAGTAACCAACGTCACCACTTGCGAAAATGGTTGTGTTGTAAGTCCAGTTTTTCTTTCTGCCCTCTATCTTTTTTAAGGCCCGCTTAAATTTCTTTTCATTTGTTATCTAACAATTTTTTTAATGAATTAATTAAGTTTTAAGCCTCTCTAGTGCCTGTTCAAATGCCATTTTATTTAACAAAAATGTGTGTTGAAATTTACCCAATAGCTCTTCTATGTAAATAAAAACAAAACATGGAACCTAGGCTCTCTTTATTTGTGAATATCTAGGGATCAAGTATGTTTGGCCTTATCCATTTATGATAAAGCTGATTCACTGTCATAAGTATGATTACACTATGAAATGATTTTTTAGGGGGAAGGAATTGGATACGGTTGATTATAATGCTTATGTAGGCAATATAATGCAAGGTTTGTTTTTAAAGGTTCAAAATTAGAAAGAGTTCTTAACCTTCTGTAACCTGGCTAAATTCTTTGACTATATTCCTCCAAAGTGCGTTAATTTCAGCCTCAGTTGAAGAAGAAGTGAACAGAAAGCCGTTTATGCCAAAAATTTGCAACTCCACTGCTATGCTACAGTCAAAGACGTACGAGAGGCTCGCGCTTCCCCCCGGGATTTTTAGAGTGTCAATTTTCGAGCAATCATCACATTATTTGGGCAACGACATATTAGGGTGCCTAAAATATCAGTTTAATTAAAGCACATTATTTGGGCAACGACATATTAGGGTGCCTAAAATATCAGTTTAATTAAAGCACATTATTTGGGCAACGACATATTAGGGTGCCTAAAATATTAGTTTAATTAAAGCACATTATTTGGGCAACGACATATTAGGGTGCCTAAAATATCAGTTTAATTAAAGCACACTATTTGGGCAACGACATATTAGGGTGCCTAAAATATCAGTTTAAATGAAGATGCCCGAGTATACTATTTGTATACCCAAGCTTGTGAATTTTTATGATGAAATAACATTTCAAAATTATCAAAGTGTCCATTTTTGCTCGCTGGCGTCACTTGCTCACGAATTTATATAAAAAGAAAGAACTTTGGCAAGCAATATCAGAAAATCCCCATATTCGGCCGGAGTATATTTTTATCTTTACTTCGATGAAGCGTCTCATGATTTATTTTTCTTCTCTCGCTCGCTTTGGGCGGAGTACAATGACATACAAATCATAATCCAAACGCAAGTTCTAAATGCAATATCAACATAACAAAAGTTGAAATGAATATGACTTTGAACAATTTGTGATGAGAATAGAGTTATTTTTTGTTATGCATTTGTATCTAATCCCCTCTCCTCTCTCTCTCTCTCTTCCTCTCTCTCTCTCTCTCCTCCTCTCTCTCTCTCTTTGTTTTACACAATTACTTTGAGAATCCATCCAAGGATCAGAATTTGTCCTGCCACACGGTATGAAAGTGTGCAATCCAAAGGCTGATAATTAGAATGAATACTACCTTTTTTTTATTGGTCGTTGTTTGTTTGGTTTCGGTTTTTCTTGTGAGTGCCTTCTTACTTCTGTATCTAACTTTTTTTTAATTTGTTTTAATCGTTTTCTGTAATGACTCTTTTTGGTTTGTTTTCTCTTTTCTTATTAATTTTCTTGTGGGTGCTTTCTTATTACTCTATCTGACCTTTTTTTTTAAAACAGAAAACATCGTTACTCATCGATGGTGTCAGCGAGACCTGGGCCCGTGATTGCAATACTCTATCATCATCTGAGTGTGTTAACACATGTAGGAGTCAAGCCGGTACGACGGCCTGCGTACACTGCTGTACCGGCGATTTTTGTAATGGCGTCGGGGCTATCTACTCCGTCAGTCTCCTAGCTACGATGTGCGGTAGCTTCCTTGCTGTCTTTGTTAGCCATTTCTGGTAGATAAGCAGTTGATCTTGAATCGAAGGGGGGGGGGGGAATTAATGTCTTGCTGTACACACGCGGGAAATTTAGAAATGATAATAATAAATATAAAAGACATATATTATTATTTTTTGGGGTCCCGAAATTTAAAAAATTGACCGATCGGCATGACATTCCGTTCTGAGGGTGGGGGGGGGGGGGGGGGTGTAAGGTCTTTTTTTAGGTCATCCATTAAGATTTTTTTTTTAATTATTAAATTTTTATTAAATATACAAACAAAATCAACACTCAAAAGGGGGGGGGGGGTTCCCGAAAAACATACGCATTAAAAAAACTCGCGCCTGAACAGAAGGATAACTTGGACCTCACACTACCTTCTTTTATTACAAACCAATTCTAGAAAAAACGCTTTTATTAGAATACGGGCGCCATAATATTATAGGGTTAACATTACAACATTACAAGTTACTTTTAATTTTGTGATTACCTGTTATTTCATTTATTCGTCCAGAATGCAGCAGCTATTGTCTTCTTTGAGTGGTCTTGGCTCTACCAGATTTTGTTTGTTTGTGTGGATAAGAACAGACACGGCCCTTTTGAGGGCAGTATATAGACCTACTCGTTATTAAAATAGTCACCCTCTATGTAGAAGAGATAAAATAACAAATAGATAGATAACATTAGTAAATACTAACATAACATTTCCCCTTAAATTATTTGTTGGACCTTTTGTTTTGTCTCGTTGCCAACCCCCACTCGCGTTTTATTTGCTTTTATAATGAAATCCCAGCTTTTCACTCTTTACCTACTGACCAAAAATTGTATACGAAGGAGAGTTAGTTCAACTAGCAATCAAATAATGTAAAACGTCTTTAATTCCTATGAGATTTGAAGCGTTAAAGGGAAATACATCTTTACTAGCAAATTACTGTAAAATAAAGGAGGCAGATAAAAAAAAAGACTGGTTAGAGTTTGATGGGAATCGGACAAAAAAAAAAAAATTACGACATTTTGAAAGCTGTGATCATTGTAAAAATTCGAGCTTCAAATTGGCTGTATGGTTAATGTCACTGTGATGTAGTACCGGAAAACGTTCCCATTTATTCCCTTTAAAAAAGTATGATGGGGGATGAGCTTTTCTCTACAGAGGACCTACAATATTATACTAACCATAATACTTATGTTATTGTTAGTCTATACAATTAATGTAAACAGGTCGTGTATTGCGCCAATGATTGGAATGATCGTGCATAATCATGTCTACTTAATATCTCAATATGCAACTTTTCTAAAAGTTTAAATATTATGCTTATAATAGGTTAGATGGAGAGCATCATCATGTAATACTCATTAAGATAAATTTGTATAATCAAGAGAGAAACAAAAAGTATAATAAAATTATTATCGCTATGATGTTACTATTCAAAAAATTGTTTTCATGTAGTGTATGTATTGGTGCTTGTACTTCGTGGTTTGTAATGAAACATCCACTACAGTGGGTTCACAATTCACAGCGCCATCCAGCGACCACCAGTGTTTAGTTGTTTTCACGTGATTCGTTATGGGAAAAAGTCGACATAGTTGACGGTTGCAGTCTGAGCATGATGAGCAGATAAAGGTCATTGCAGAACAAATTTTGAAATACACGGAGACGAAATCCTGGGTACGTGCTCATGAAATTAGTTATGTCATCATTATTCATTCATGCACAAGCAGTGAACTCCATGATACACAGGTGGAAGTAATTTCTGGTGTGTTTGTTTATTTAGCTTACAATGAGTAAAACTTTGCGCTTTTTCCAAAAATATCGATCTTAATATGACCCTTCTCACATCACTTTGGTAATTCTGGCCACTTTTTTTTCTCAACTAACCATTATGGTCACTTTTGGATAGTGGTAAGTTTCCCGGGCGGTATTGTAGGCAAAGAAGATTTGATGGGCTTATTTTATGTAAAAATGTGCCCCGATGCTAGAAAAGGGGGTCAAATTAATCCCCATCAACAACAATTTGGTCATTTTGGTCCAGTGTTTTGACAAAAATGTAAATTTCTATTTATATATTATGGTATGGAATTTATTGAATCATGCATCGCAGTTACATATACTGAATTGCACATGGATATACATTGCATTTTAAAAAACAAGTGTAAAATTTAAAACAGTATAGTATTAGTGACTGCTTTGAGAGAAATAGTTGTTTTTATACGCTCAAGGGAAGGTTAGAATTGTGCTGTTGCCCGAGGCGTGCCGAGGGCAATAGCCCAATTGTAACCTTCACGAGAGCGTATAAAAACAACTATTTCTCGAATAATAAAGCAGTCATTAATACTTTTATATGCCGAAAAAATTATGACACCACCTTGGCCTTTCTCTAGTATATCTGCACGGTTGTTTTTTTACGAGTGTTTCTTTGAGTTTGAGAGTAGACTAGATGTAGATTCTAGTCTAAGCAAGATATTTTACAATTTTGGGGGTGGGCCGGCCCTGTGGGGAATATGGAGAAAAACCTGCGCTTTCATATGACACCTCACTTATTGAGTATCACTTTCAGGATCACGAGCAATATTAGTTTGAATCTCTGGTAATTAAAACATCGACCAATCTAGCATGATCGAGTGCGCAATGACCAATGGAA